TCCACTCCACTCCACTCCACTCCACTCCACTCCACTCCACTCCACTCACTCACTCACTCACTCACTCCACTCACTCACTCACTCACTCACTCCACTCACTCACTCCACTCACTCACTCCACTCACTCACTCCACTCACTCACTCCACTTTACATCCTGCTAGCACTGCCCGCCGTGGTCGGGATAAGACCACTTGATAGCTTTGATGGTCGATTCGAGTGTGTTACGTTTTGAAGGTCTCATGCGGATCTGATCGCAAAATCCAGAGCCTCCAAACTTCTCTCTCCGCCTCCTTCTCTCTCTCTCTCGTCCCTCTCATCCTTGTTCATCACATCATCAGACACTTTATCGCACACCCACACACACACACACACGCACGCCATCTTACCACACACACACACACACCTCCTCCCTCCCCTCCTTCTCATCCTCGTCCATCACATCATCACTTATACTACACGTCTTAGCACAACCGCCTCATATACCTTCTCTCCTAACACTTCGTTCTTGACTTTTCATCTCACTACTCCGTCTCCCATGTAATGTTCATATACAATTGAAATTTGTAAAACTTATCATGTGGGGTTATCCGGTCCTTTTATTTTTAAGTATTTGGTATATCATATTCTATTACCAATGTAAGACTTTTATGATGGTTAGACTGGGCCTGACTGCCAACATCGTGAAGTAAAGTGGTGCAATACCAGCTGTAGCAGTTTATTCAAGGTTTGTACCAGCTGACCTCATAGTGGACTCCTGTAGGAGAGCCAACTGTTTCTTTGGGGCAACCTACTCTGAGTCATTGCTTTCCTGACTCTTGCAGGGTTTGGGATCCGCATCTGACAAATGAATGTTCTGATTTCCTCAAACCAGTGTGCCGTCGCCGGGTGTGTGCGACGAACGCCAGCTGTAGCGGGATGCCGACTCCTTGCCATCCTTGATCGACTTACAGATACCGGTGCCCGCGGCACCTGGTCCAACCAGGTTGAACAAACCCATGACCAGTTATCTTGAGATGACCTCCAGCTTCTGGAAAAGCAACATGTTGCTGTGTGCTTTGGAGCTGTGTTATGGACCTGCTGGAGCTTAGCTTCTATGCGAAACGACCGGAACAACCCTGACACCGGATTTTCAGCTGCACTCACATCCAAATTTGAGAATTTGTAGGCACGGTAGGCGAAAGACGCTCCAGAATGGTCCAAATCTTCCCAATGACATACGTCGTAGAATACATGAATTTGGGTTGATGGATAGAGTCATATACCCCACACCACACACCTGCACACTACAGACCAGTCTCCTTTTTTTTGGTGTATAACGCATTTTGCACGCGTCGTAGCTCCGCGTATCTCACGGCATGACGTCGAGGTCCAATGACTCCCTTCTCGGGGCTCGGGGAGTGTGCGGAGCCCGACTGTGCGGCCCATCGGCTCGCGTGGCCTCAGGCGGGAGACGGGTCTCCCGCCAGGGGGTGTCAGATCTGTGCAGATGCTGATGGGTCTTCATGATGTGCAGATGATCCGTACAGATGTGTGCCATTGACAACACACAACAATGTAACACCAAACGGCATCTTTGCACCTTGATGATGATGATGATGATGATGATGATGATGATGATGATGATGATTATGAATTAGATGTACTGTAGATGGCACCACATGCGTCCAAGTTAGGTGAGTTGATGGACCTATATCTAGATCTGAAAGTCATTTTGGCTGGGTGCCAGTGCCGTCGACTCTGAAACTTATAGCCCAAAACTTTGTGGTGAATCATGGGAAGGATTTGTGTCCACTCCGACGAAGACATTAGATTGGAAGTGGATGGTGCCCACTAGTGTAAAGGAAATTCTTCCAGGTCCACTTCTATGTTGGAGTGTAGTAAGATTTGATCACCCATGAAGAGTCACCATCCGCACGCAGTCACCATCATGTTGGGATGTTAAGATAAAGAGGTACAGCGAAGCTGAAAGGGCCATCTTCCCTGTAGAGATACGTAGATAGAGATCACGTCAAAGCCACACCGAGAAAATGTGCACCGAATCGTTAATAACATATTATATAAGAAATTGTTATGTTTAACATTTCACATTGGAGATCATGTTCACCGAATCGTGATTGCAACATTTGAGCATATAAACATTTCTCAATCTCGTGCTTGCCGTGGGTCGTGCTGGAAAATCTGGGTGTGGCATTCATCGACAGAGCACGTGCTTCCCGATCAATTCTGACAAGGACCTGTACTTCCTCGGTCATGTCTTTGTGACTTCCATGTATACACATAATTTGTCCATAGCAAAGGAGAACCTGCCTCTTCCCCTTTTTCTTTACTCGTTCTGTATTCCACAGTGTTGCTCCGCTTGGTCCCAAGCTGGCCCAACTGCGGCCAGGTGCGGAACCGCTTCCGGGACTTCATCCTCAAACGGATCCGCGACGCTCACACAGGGCAAAACGCGCCAAGCCCAAGCACCGATCCATCGATGGTTGGGAGTCCGGTTGTTCGGTGGGAAGAGGAAGACGCGCCCCATTGACACACCGGTTTTCAAGAGGGTGGAGGTGTTCCAGAGAGACGATGCGATTCGGATTGGAATGGGCTTTTGTGACGTTTCGGGGTTCTGACTCAGTGACGACTGTAGTCCCATTATATAGAATGTTTGTGGATCTCGTAGACTCGTAGAGTCCCCAAAACCATGCAGACCCTGCCGTTGGAGGTGCAACATAGTTTTTGTGTTTTCTACGTCCCAGTACTTTGGTCAAGCGCCCCAAAGACCAACCGCATTGAAGAACATATCAATTCTTCTCAAGACTTATATACGCCAGATTCTGTCATTTATGTTTGACATGTCCTTGAATTTTCATCCCCTGCCACTTCATGAGAGACTCCTTTGACCAAGACCGCAGCGCCGCTTTCAGCGCCGCTGAGGGCTGTCATCCGTGGTGGAATCCAACCGTCGGCTTCAGGCGAGGTTTTGGGGCCAGCTTTCGGACTGGTGTGTCAATGGAGTGCATTTCTGTAGATAGAAACGGTGTGTGTGTGTGTGTGTGTTGATGAGTTCATCTTGATGAAGATCCCCCAGCAATGGTAGATCACCCAGAACTTGTTCGGCCTGACACAAATGACCCGCGCACAAGTCGGACTCTGCCAGCAGTTGGACTCCGCCAGCTTCCTTGTTGGAAGGAAGCCACGAAAGATCAGTTTAAGGGAATGATTCCTTTCACCAGTGAAGAGAATCAGTCGATTCCTTGGCCAAGACACACAACTGAGCAAACCAGCTGGAGGGAACCTTGAGCACGGCCCACATTTGGGGCATCCGATTCAACTGGCACTTAGACATGACCTCACTCGACGATCGCTTTCACCAGTTCTGCACGGCTCAAATGAGCTTGAATCACAGCGAAAAAAACAAGAGAGAGAGAGAGAGACAGAGAGAGAGAGAGAGGAAACACAGTCTCTATAGAAATCCACATCGGCTTTGCACATCTTCGGCAACACCGACGCAAAAACCTGCAGGCATGCCAAGATCAGACCATCGGAAGTGTTCGAGAGTGCGCATCCTGGACCAAGAACTGAACCTGGATTTTATCGGATCTCATCGGAGCATGGCATAGCGGCGTGCCGCAGCAGCCTTCGCCCTGGACGCCATGAGAGTCTGAGACGCTGCCGCCTGAGGCCTGAGGCGAAGCTCTTTCTTGTACTCAGATGTGCCACTGTCAGATTCTGTGTTGGAAGATGGGTGTCCTAAAATTCTAAAGATATCTAAAGATTAGCGCACACTCACACACACACACACACACATGTTCTTCTAAAATACACATCGCACACGCCAATAAATTTGGCCTGGTGAAGCTACGGCGTTTGATTGGCCCCCAGTTTCATGTCGCCCGAGTTTGTTTGCGAACTGTTGGAGGAACCACCCAAGGTATGGTGGTACATGGTGGCATTGTGTGTTGCAGGTGGTCTACTACGCTTTATAGGTGATCATGCTTCCACCCAGATCCAGTAACGTACAAACAATATTGATATATCAGGAGCCAACTGGCGCTTGAAACACAAGAAACAATGGCTTGTCCAAACATCAACCAGTCTGAGTTGCCACAAAGAAAGCTGTATGACGTGGTGACACACAAAAGGGCAACTGGCTTTGAAGGGCTTTTGCTCCATTAGCAACAACTTAATACCTGTAACTGTATACCACGTGACCTTTGCTTGTAGTAGCTTTTTGTGACTAGTTCTTGATGTTATCCCCCAAGAAGTCCGTCTCCTATCCTATCCGCTAAAATTGAAAACCCATCTCCGAACACATCTGAACACCCTCATCCGCCCATCTGCGGCATGCCAACTACCACAGGGAAGAACATGTCCACCTTCCAAGCGGCCTTCCACGCCTTTCGCTGCGCGGACCTTCCCCTGCGCCGACCCGGCGCGGGACTTGCTTCGGCGTCGGTGGGCCTGGAGCTCCGGCGGCGCGTGTCGCAGCGAGTGGTGACGGCGATAGCCTCGCTGCTGCTGCGGCAGATGGGGTGCCCCCCGGGCCGGGGAAACAGCCCTATGGGTATGCCAACTGCATAGTTTTCCACTATACATAGAGAGAGATCAGAGAAAGGATGGTGCTGTTGAGTTGTTTGCTTTGGTCATCCTGAGTCCTTCCAACATGTCCTTGCAATTTAAACGAACCCATTTCATCCCATTTCTGTACCTGGTCATAGACCAAGTGGATCCAAGTGCTTTTACATGAGGGGCGCAGGTAGACGTGCCCGCAAGTGTGAGGAACGCAGAAATATTTGTAGCATCGGACTTGGGTACTTGGTACTTCGTCAAAGAAGAGGGTGACAATTTGAAGATGCACCGTGACTATCAGAATGTGGGCTGTTTGAGGGGAGACTGCTAGGAGAGGCTAGGGGGATATTTACATTCTAGATGCGTGAATGTTTCCTTACTGCAGGGCATACCACCAGCATGTCTTCTTAGGAGACAATTGGTGAACCTGAATAACCCTGAAGGGGCTTGACCTGGGATACGTGAGGCCCAAGTTAATCGACATGTTCATGATCTTTTTGCTATAGCCATAGCTTTTGGGGTGAGTGAAGTGCATAGTTAGTTAGATGTAGTCCTCGCAGTGCTGAACACACCCTACAGTTGTTGGTGTATCCCAAAGACTGCAAACCGGTGCGCAAGCACAACAAGTGTCTAAGCAATGCAGCAAGTGACAAGTGGTCGCAAAAACATGCGTATCGACTCACGGAGCCGTTCCACTGAGATGTCATGTTTTTCTAGTCCTGACTCGCAGCGAGCAGCCACCAGGTACTCGGTGCTTTTCATGGAACAAGGGAAACCTTTCCCTGCTGCTGTTCAGCTCCACGCCAGTCTCGAAGTTTGGGCCGCTTGCTTTCCTCGAGTTGGGAGTTGGAAGCGAAAATGGGTGTGCGGAGGCCCAATTACTTCACTTCAAGTGATCCCCACATGGCATGATCCATTCTGCTGACAACCGACGGCTGTATTGCTTCAGACTATCACCAAGAAAGCGCAGTTCTGCCTGGCCCACAGCTCTCTTTTTGCAAAGGCCGAATGGAGATCCAGGGTGGGTTCCGGGCTCGGATGTCCGTAGCCACAGCCCCACCAAGGCAGCGGGGGACCCCTTCGCAGATGGCTACAATAAGAAACTTGTCGCAGCGTGGCCACGTGCGCCTGCTGACGACAAGCGAACTCTCTTCGTGGTATCCGCATTCAGCCGGCCCCGCGCTCTGACCGCATGGTTGTCTTGTTACGCGCTGGGCAATCCATCCGACGGCGTGCCCTCGCCGAACTGTACGACATATTGTTGGATGCAGGGACCGTGCACCCTGGCCTGGCCACCAACAAAGCACGGCAAGCACACACCACAGAGCAGAAGACTTTAACGCTCGGTGCTTTGCTGGACGTCTTTTTAGCATACCAACTCAACTCAGCCACAATAAGCTGCTGAGTGTTCTTGGCATTGTCTTCGTCATCCTCGCCGGGGTCTACGGCCAAGTCGCAGCTCTGACGAAAGTTGGCAGCAACAGCGGACGAACTGTGAACATGTGCAAGTAATGTTGTATCCTGATCAGCATATGGGACTTCTGAATGTGAACGTATAACCCATCATAACCCCATGTTACTACGTTGCTCTAAGGGTAATTTGTTGTGCTAACTCTTTTTTGACCCTATTTTTTTTGGTAGCTTTACGCCGCAATGAAAATATAATCCTGCCTGAGGTCTTCAATACTACTAAAGAAAGGGTAGCTAGTTGTATAATTGATCAATGTTTCTCTTATGCTTCTCTTATATTCCTAAAGCAAGCATTTCTTTTATTTGTGTGAAGATTGCTCCTAAGCAAAATTTCAAGGTAGTAGACCAGGAAGGTGCCTGATCTTCAACAAAAAACTGTTCAATGGGCTGTCGATTGTGAAAACGTTTCGCCAGGGCAAATCTTTCTGTATATGAATGGTTGTTCAGACAGTGAGTAAGCGGAAGGCTTTTCTTTTGCTGAAGATCTGTGGCTGAGAATGCAAAGAAACCAGAAAGGACAATTAATACAAACTACAAGTGGGAAATGAATACAACAGATACCCTAAAGATCAGGTTAGACAGTTAGGAAGGAATTAGATATATAACTCTAAAAATAACTTTTGAGAGTTAATTCTAATGTATGAATTAACTTATCCAGATAACTCAAAAAGTTAGCTTCAAAGTTAACTATATAAAAAAGACCTTTTGTTAAAGGTTAGATAACTCTTGAATTACTTCTTTTTAGCGACACACACACCACAAGAAGGTAACATTTACTTTTTGTGTTACTTTGCAAGATGTCACTGGTGTGTGGCGCTTTGTTTTGCAGCTGTTCTGGTCTCTGTCTGTGTTCTGCAGTTGGGCAGCCATGTCCAGGGTGAGGCTGACACCTGACCCAATTGTGTCAGTGTCTGACCTGACGAAGGCCTTTGCCATGAGGGCATGTGGGACTTAGACAAGCTGTTGCTGCAGCATGGAAGGTGCCCAACTTCATGGAAAACAAGCCCTGATTCCCTGATGCTTGTTACTTGTCAGGGCACATGGCTGTTCTTTGTCGAGAACTGTTCAGTGTGTGCCCCAATGGAGTTTCGTCTTCAATCAAGATAAAAAGAAGCCTTGAAAAACTTCAAGCTGAAAAGAAGAAGCGCCTGAACCACTCCAGCACTTGTGACCCTGCCTCTTTTGACAAAGTTGACCAGACTGTGTGCATATGTGCATCCCAGTTCAGGGACCTGAAGGGTTCAGCAGGGAAGTGCAGTGTGCCTGTATGGGGAAGGCATCTGCATCTGAAAAAAAGCTATTGATGCAGTTTTGGATTGCTTAGATTTGAAAAGGGTGGAGGAGCTGGACGAGAAGGGGGCAACACTGCAGGTGATGCAGAAGATGAGGAATCGAAGAAGAAGGACTTGAAGCCCTTGGAGGGGCTGGAAAGTGAAGATGACAAGAAGGCATCTTTGGCTCCAAGCATTTTTGCCAAAGTTTTGCAAAAGCGGTCCAGTGAGGCTTCCACTCCTGACAAGGGTGAGAGACAAGCAAAGGATGGAAACTTGCTTGCCACTAAGCCAAGCTTCAGAAGCCAAAGCTGCAAGCCCTTGGAATGCCTTGGCAGTTGCAGCCTTTGCGCCTGCTGAGAGTGAAGAGTTGAAGACTTGGCTTCAAGAAAAAAGCTGTTTTGGTGTCAAAGCCCAGGAGCAAGAAGACTTGGATGAAAAAGCCTGCAGCAAACATGTCAGACAAGGACAAGCTGAAACCCCACAGCCCAAGGCCAAGGCTAACCAGAAACCAGCTGCGAAAGCTACAAAGAAACAGAGCAAGAAGTCGACCCTGAAGCGTCGCAAAACTTCAACAGCTTACCACCAAGCTGTCAATGCTGCTGAGAAGTTGGGCATGGATGCTGATGCAGCCAAGGAGATGGGCAGGCAGGCTGCAAAAAAGATGGCAGCTGACATCAACTGGCGACAGAAGACCAGTGATCTGCACCCTGTTTCCTGCTGAAGGGATCAGGCTTGGGAATTTGACACCGTCGCGCAGTTCTTTTGCTACCCCAAAGTGATGATCGACTATGCCTCCGCAAGCATGTCTACATCAAGCAAGACAAGGTGCCAGGCCGATATATCCAAGGTCTTCTTCATGGCTCCAATGGATGCTGGAGCAACGGAGGCACACAGTTCAAAAAGTATGTCTTGACCCCAGAGAAACGCAAGGCCCCCTCCACCTGAGAACGACACCTGGCAATTTATTCAGGAGCATGGTGAACCCACTTGCCGCAACTCGACTGCAGCCACCACTACATCAACCTGCAAAACTCTCCCATTCATGGCTGCCACGAGCGTCTGGTCCAGAAGGCCCTGGATTCTTTGGCGAATGACACCACTGTCGCAAAGCTTTGCAACAGATATGATCTCGCAATCATGGACCTCGAGCCGGGGATTCGCAACATTCTTGAGGAGCTTGGCCATGAAGAAGAAGAGCGCGAAGTCTAAGAAGTGAGAGGTCTGACTGGCAAACTTTTGAGTATTATATCTCATTTGACGAGGATTGTCCTCTTTCCAAGAGTTGGCTGCCAGTTTTATATCATTTGAATTTTTGTACTTGTTGTCAAGATGTCATGTTACATCTGGCATTAAAACCCTTGGCATAGTTTACAGGTAACAAATCTGATAGGTCATGCTCGTCAATGTGGAAAACTTTGCTGTTCTGTAGATAATAAAGCAGCGCCCATCTTGTGAATCCAGAAAAACGCACGCTCACAGTGACGAACTCTCATTTGTTTAGGGGGTCCCTTTGAAGGCGTCCAACAACAATATGGTTGAAGGTTGCTGTTGCTCTTTCAGGTGTGAGGAACAGTTGTGTGTTTTTGTTCAAGCGGTTCAAGGCATGCTGGGGCGTGTACGCAGTAAACAAACAGGGACTACATTTTTTGGCCCTTTGTTTGGATGGCTAATGATCTTATTGAATGTTTAATGGTGTTTTTATGATTTCCTATACACCAAAGGGTCATGACTGGCTACCAATGGGTGTGGATCCCGCCTTGTTGGGTGCCGTCACCCAGCATTTGGTGGTGTTTGCCCCAAACTTGAGGGTCATATTACTATAGCAAATTTGTCAAGTATGTTAGGACATCTGTGATGGCATGTTCATCAACGGGGTCTTCAATGCTGATCTTTGGGTTGTTTTCACGACTACCTTGTTCCAGCATGGCTGTTGTTTAGCCACCCTTCAGCGTATTTGATGCCGGATTGAGCGGCTGAGGATCCAGAGCTGCCGACCGGCTACGAAGATGCTGGATTTGTGGGCTATGAGGGCGACTCCGGATGGTGGATCTCGAAGTCCTTGGCGGATCAGCTACTTGGTGCTGATCCGAAGTTCATTTGGTTGTTTCATGATTGAGGTTGTTCCGTGATGTGTTTTGGACCAGAGACAGAAACAGGCCAAATACGAATTTTATACTAAAGGCAAAGTGGTGTTTGGTGATCCTCGACTCAATTCGCAGATCGATTTTGTTCGCCCTTTTTCCTCAATTTGTTCCAGTTCCCGACCGGACCTTTCATATCCAGGTTGTTCACTTTTCGTGGAGTGAATCAAAACAACATAAGTATAAAATAACTATTGACTGTTCAGAGAAAATGAGCAGCTGAACCAGAGAGGTTGTTCCTGCGTTGCCACAACGCATCAACAATTTGAAGATATTTACAGGACATGTGGGGACACTTGGATTTTGTTCAATTCATACTACAGACAGTAAGTTGTATTTTTTGTTGGTTCATTTTTTGTCCTCTCCCGATAGCTTCCTATGCATAATGCTGGTGCCATGTTTGATTGTTTTGATTTTTTTGTGGCCGAACACACACACAAACAATGAAGAACATGAACCGACTTCCAAGGTTTTTTGCTCTTCCGCCAGACTTCTACCGAGCCTACGATACACGCCACGCTGCGAATGGGCCTTTGTTGGAGGCCAGGTTTCTGGTTTTTTTTTTCCTCTCGCTCCACCAGTCGAGAAATATGAGGTATTGCAAAACATGGGTTTCAAGTCAGAAAGTCTAGGTTTGGACAATGTTTCCACCCATAACCCTGCAAGGAAAGTTGAAGCATCACATGTTCTTGGTCGGAAGGTTTGACGCACCCACCCAATGTTAAGTTGATTGTGGCCTGTAGCCGAGTAGGTAACATCCAGCGCATGAACACATTTGACGTCCTCGCCATGTTCACCAAAATATGTCAAATCGCTGGCCGTGGAAACGTCCAATACATTGAGAAGGATCCTCCAAGCGGGCTGGTAATAAGCCTTGCATTTTCGTTTCATCACCAACAAGTGCTCCATTTGTTCTAATTATTCGCCCTTGAAGAACACATGTTGTTTTTGATTCTTCATGTCAAGAAGCAGCATGTCGGAGGCACTTCGCAGGGTGTCCAATGTGAGCTGTTTCCATGCCTGTTGCCCTTGCGTTGACGCACCCTGCGAACGCTGCGCCGCGGTCACTGCGGGCGAACGCTGCACCGCGGTCACTGGAGTCGAGCACTGGTGCCCAGGACGCTACGTTTTCAGAGGCTTTGGTCCATGAGTTTTGCCTTGGTCCATGAGTTTTGCTTGAGATCACACTGTGTTTGTTTGTTTGTTCGTTCGATCGTTCGTTTGTTTGTTTGTTTAAGCATCTAGCTTTTTCGGCTTGACCTCACAAAACAACATGGAATTTTAAGAGGTTCGCCAGTTTGTCAGAAGAATCTGCTTGCGCTGCTTGAAGGGTGAGTGTTGTAGTTCCGTTTCTTTCCACAAGGTGTATGTATGTTGCATGCATTGAATCAACATCAGATTCAGTGTATGGATGCTCATCTGATGTTTTCCATTGTGATCCTCATTTGGGGAGAGGTTTGCACCTGGTTTTCATTGTTGTGATTCTCCTAGCACTAACAGTACCATGCCATGCCTTGCACTTGTTCACTCGGTCAAGCCCCAACCTGAAGGTCCATTTCGTTGTGTTTTGTCTCAGAAGCAAGAAGATCTACGTATCGGCATAGAGATTGAGTTGCTATTGAATGACTCGGCCTCCAAATTAGTCCACTGGATCAATACTAGTAGTTCAAGGGATCCCGGGATACGATGATTCCCAAGATGTCCCCATGGCACCACATCTTTAAAAAGCCAAGATTCCAGTCTTTGATCACAGAACTCAAAGTTGGATTTGACTTGACCCAAGATGAAACATGGGTGACCGGCTACTGTGAGGAAGAACTCCAGAGGTTTTGCCTGCTGTTCTGGCCCATCAAGATGGTGAGCTGTCGGGCTATGGAGAGGAGTTGGCAGTACAGCATGGCTTTCGCTTTGGCTTGCGCTTCTTGGGGGAACAGGACTATATGCGGAAGCTTAGGCAAAGCAAAGATATTTGATTTGTGATGAGGAAAACCAAAGACCTGGGACTGACTCCCAGTAGCGGCGCCAGCAAAACTAATTCAAGATAAGCAATGAAGTGACACATTCTTGGATCCCCCGAACTGAACCGTTTGTTTGATCGAAGCCTGTACCTGTTTTTTCTCTCCAAAGCGAAGCTGAACCGCAGCACGCCGGTCGTTGGTCGTGTCGCATGGTGATGACCATCAGTTTGACCATCTGAGGAAGTCACTGGAGGTGGGTGTGGGAAAGGGGGGAGGTTCGCGGAGGATCCCAGAGACCAATGCGGCGTTCAAAGTATAAGAGGAATGACTAAAAGAAAGTAGAAAACACAGGGAACAGCACCATGATAACACTGTGTTGTATAAAAGGAAGTCGTCTTCCAAGGGGCCATGCTGACCATGTTGTGCTTGCTTTTCTCCAATGACAGCTTCTTGGTTCCATGCTGCTGCCTTATCCATCCTTATCCATGCTGTATTCTAGGGAGAAAGATTAAGAAGCATTGCATGGACACACTGGGTTTTCGTATGCGGTCTAATGGACCAAAAAGGGACACAATGTTGCCATCGTTTGCTGGGTATCGGTCTCAGTATCATGGTTCTTTGAGTTGTGGGTGTGCAGGCGCAGGATCCTCTCGTGGACATGACTTTTCAAGCAGCCACCTTGCAGCAAGTTCTCATCCCTATCCTCTTTCGTTAGTTTGCACGTACTTCTCTACTGACGACAAAATTATTGAAAACACATCTACAACCCCCTTGCCCACCTCAGATCCTCGGCAGGTGCTGGCACGCAGTGGAGGAACACCAGGCATTGTCCAGATTGTTCGGCCCTCGATGCTTTATAGCCGCCTGAAGTTGTTGGATGAGCCAGCTGTGAGAGTGATGTTGCCCAGGGAGAACTGTGGCCTGGCAACAAGTGAACACCTTGTGGCTCCTACTAGTATGACCTATAGTATGACGACCTTGTGAGGAGGGGAGGATTGTGAATTGTGAACTACAAATCCACCATGGGGAACCAGGCAATGGCCATTTCTATAATTTTCCTTGCCAAACCAACCTAGGTCAGATCCACTTGGGTTTGTACGTAGATCCAACCAGCAAACAGAACTAGGTCGATTTGGACCTTGTACCGGCCCTATGGACATCCCCTCTGAGAGGGTGATTTCTTTAACACTTTCATGTCAACTTGGAGGTGCCAGTAGTACCGAACCGTTTTGAGGTGCCAGTGGATCCGAGTAGCGAAGTGAAGTGAAGCCGATGGCTCACATCAGGTGGCTCTCATCGTTCCGATGGCTTGGGAAATTGGTCCTGCGACCCGCCTCCCCGCCGTCTCCGGAAGCACCTCCGCGTGGTCTCCGGAAGCGCCGGCGCAGCGGCTTCCAGTCCGGAAGCCGCGGCTTCCGCGCTGGTGCGGCAACTCCGTGACCTGGGTTCAGCAGCGGGGGGCAGGATGTGGGAGTAACAAGGGCATCGCTACGTTCGTAGCGTCCTTGCTACTAGTAGCGATGCACCTTGTTACCAGTAGCTTCTTGCTACTGTTAGTAATTAATGAACTTGTTGCTAGTTATTTTGTTTTTGTAAAAGTGTGGTTTGAGTAAACCATAGGGAAGCCAGATTCGAGAGGAGTTCGTTTGGATTAATTGTGCGAGAGGAGTTAAGTATGAGGATGGCAAGTTCGTGCCCTTTGGAGAGGAAACAACATTGAAATCCTTAGAAAAAATTGAAGATCCACTCCGCCACAAATTATACATAAATAATACAACTGATCCGTTCTGCAGCAGGTCTCTCCAGCAAAGATATGGAGCAGATGTTGGAGGTTTTGAACAGCTCGCGCGATGACGAGATCTTGGCAGTTTCATGTGAGGCTTGGCGAAACACATCAGACCATCGGAGTCCTCCTGGATCGCTCAACGGAAAGCCCGGCAAAACGGGTTCATGCCACCCAACCGATCAGATCAACAACCTAGCTTAATGAAATAGACATCACAAACGAGGAACCGGCTCCTGATATTATTCCTTACAGTATTCCTTACTATATAATCTTACATGGAGCAAAACCAATGAAGATGTAAAAGCCAAAGTCAATTGAATATATTTGTGAGGCCGATACGTGCTACTTACGTTGTGCGAATGTGTGTGTGTGTGTGTTCAAGCTTACGTTGGAGGCTGGCTTCAGACCTCGATGGGATCCAGGTACCTGAGGATGGTTCCCGGTCCTTGGGACACAGGATGATCCATGAGCCAAGACTCCGTGAGTGACTCCGTGGGAGAAGTAGCTACTAGTAGCTTCTTGTTACTAGCAACAATCGTCCCCAACCTGACAGAGATGGCCTCCAACCTAGTAGCCTCTTGTTACTAGTGATAATTGTCATCGTTGGATTCAAGATTCATGGGAGAATGAATTGCGATTTTGTTTGGAATCAAACATGATTCATTAGTTTTTTTGGGGTGGCAGTGTGCATTGTTTAGGAGTTACCTCAAGCACACTGGTGTGCGTTTGTGGGGCCTATGGTTGTCATGTCGTTTCTTCGATTGTCCCAAACAGACCAAACGACTAGACCAAATCACCGCAGTCTGAAGCCCCAGAGACGCTCTGAGGAACACATCACATGGAAGTGGATGGCATAGCCCTGAAAGGAAGACCACTTTCCTGACCATGAACAGGAGGTGCCATCCGCTTCCATCAATTCCCCAAACACTCCGACTGGCTGACATAGAAGTGGACCATGGGCCTGGAAAGACTATTCTCCTTTGCAAACAGGGGGTGCCATCCACTTCCATGTTTCCATGCGATGTGTTTGTTGGAGTGTATGACACTGATCCAAGGACTGGTTGGCCAAGCACCAGCAGCTGTGGTCCCAGTGGACTGCAATTGCCCAGCGACGAGAGGCCGGTGACAGGGACAGCCGTATTGACCTCTTATTTTTGGTGGTTGACATTGGATCAATATTTCAACCAATTTAAACCATCCAGTACCATGAAGTGGTTGGGATAGGAGGGGAAGGGATCGATGGTCTCAGTTTTGACGAGATCCAAACGCTCCACCCTCTTTTCACGCCAGGTGCCCTTCTTCGCTGATACTGTTGACCCGTCCTATCCTTGGTCCATTTTGTTTCTCTTATTGCTCATCGCGGCCGCTTGGATCCTGTGGCTGGAGAACCGATGGCTGCAGACGACCCTGAGCCTGGGATTCAATGATTGCAGAAAAATGCAGGATGTGGGTCACCTGGGAAGAAAAATGCAGAGACAAAACATACAAAACCCTGCAGAAAAGCATTTTGGGATTCAATCGAGACTGTAATATAATAGCTAATACGGTCACAACCCAGTTCTCCGGACTCCGGAGGTTCGGACTTCCCGAACTCCGGTCCGATCCGGTCGAACTCGTTGTCGGAACTCCGTTGGACTGGTGGAGGGGTCGGGTGAACACGACTCATCACACGACCCATCGCAGGATCCAGCTCACTCTCGTCGTGCTTTTTCGAAGACGGCGGACTCCACGTCGTCTCATGGTCTCGGTGGAACGTCCGGGAGAAAAGACGAGATTCTCTTCACTCGCTTGGATCGCGTGGCTTCAAGACTCAAGACTTGCGTTCGCTGCGAACGCTGCGAACGCTACTCTTTCGTTGGGCGTTCTCTGTGGTCCTCGGATCCCCGGAACCGGTCAGCGCCGTCTCTGAAACGGGGTGAACTGGTCTATACGGGCGCCGAACGAGCCGAGGAGCTTTTGGGAAGCACCGAAGATTCGGAAGAAGAACAAGGGAGGCCAGTATTCTTGTGCGTAGACAGAGGTTTTAGACAGTTGGTCCAGTAGAGTTAGCTTCAGTTGTTCTGCGCGCATGATGAATCGGACCCCGACAGCGGACCCGTGTCGGGGTGTGGGACCTCGGTCCAGTGTGATTCTTGCAAATTCAAAAAATCATGTTCCATCTATTATATTTTCTTGGAACACGGTTTGACTGCAGTTTGAATGATCAGAGTTTTCTTTCCATCTATCATTTTCTTGGTTTTTGAATGTTCGAACACGATTTGACTGCAGTTGTTCCAGGCTGGCGTTCCGATGTGGAGCTCTTGCTGAGGAAGAACTCCTTGGATAGCCCCTATTCAAGTCCCAAGCGAAGGCCTTCAGGCAGGTCGTTGGGGGACACAACAAAATCCACTGAAGAAACCCTGAGCCTAAGACTTCAGAAGGCACCTGAGATACATCCAACGAGGGGTCCAGGGCGTTGGGGGCGCTTGGGGGCGCTTGGGGGCGCAAGCGCGCACCCTGCACCCTTGACCTGGCTGGGGCAGGTGAGAGGTCGGATCTCAGAATATCACAGAGTGGCCCTGCACTGTGTTTTTTCACTGCCATAGCCACTTTCAGCGATGCCTTTAGTGGCCGTTGGCCCTAAATTAAACCTACTGTGTGATTAAAAATGCTACGTACGTGCAGCGGGAAATTGATGGACTTAAAGATATAAACTGGGGGAAGTGACATTTGTCACTGGGTCGTGCTTGGTGAGAAACGAACAATAGAAGGAACATGCCTGCATCCTGTACAAGTTAGGGCGGTGTTCATAGTACTATTAATATCTATATATACTGTATTAACTACTACAATAGTATTGAATAAGTATTTGTGAACATACGGTCGTGAATTGCCATTCGACTTTGAGTGCTCACATAGAGTGTCCAGTTCGCATAGAGTCTCCAACTCATATTGAGTTGGTCATGTCACATAAGGTATCCCTTTTGCATGGATCATTCAATTCACATAGGGTGATGATTTTATTTTGCATTGAATTTGGATTTCAATTGTAAACTGGCTTCCTCGGATGTGGTTAGTACAAACTCGGGTCCGGAGTTAATCGAAGGGGGGGAGGTATGCTCTTGCTTTTTGTATCAGAGTTTCACGCATAGCTATGCTATGGTCATGGCTGTTAAAAAGCGAGACTGGTTTGCGAACTATCACTCTTGTTTGAGCCGGAACTTTGGGAATAGTCGCGTTGGACCAAACGTGACTTGGTGTTGGGGATGTGAGCAATTTCTGCAGATGATGTGGCCAAGAAGGATTAATCATTTCACTTCCAGTATTTCAGACAATGGTTTGATCTACGTAATGGGCCTTGTGTCGGGGATGGCCATTACGTAAAGTCAAAATGATCCCTGCAATGTTTGATAGATTAGATAATTTATCAATTTATCCGGCAATTCAGTTGATCTTGGAGTATCTTGGAATGGTCTAGAGTCTAGAACCTCTATAGAAGTTTACGGCGGTTTTGGCTGATGTTTCATTTGCAGCTCAGCAGGAACACAAATATGTTGACAAGTCGGACTCAGATGTTCAGAAAGTGACTGCTTACCAGTCGTGACCGAACTGCTGCAGTCTCCCCAATAGGTCCTTTTTGGAAAGGTCACCTGGAAGAAGTGTCTCACTGTGATACAGGTGACCCACAATGGATGGACGCCTTCTGCAAGGCCTCAAGCACACCAGAGAAAACCCAACAGGATCTTTCTGGACAAGTTTGCTAGCAACACTAGATAAACCTCTAGCACCCTGAGGCCCTGGGATTCAGAAGATTTGAGGCTGTAGGGCCTTGCAGTGCATGGCACACAGATCCCTTTGACAAAACCATAAGGTAGATGACGACCATGTTTAGTACGAAATCTGTACTTGATTGCATGTGTTATCATTTGTTGCACGGCCTGTACTAGGCTAGTGGCATTTAAAAGGCATAGTTTTATAAGGTTTTTCATTAGGTAAACTGGTTGTCAAGGTTCCGCTAACCACGACAGGTCCCTGAACCGCAGGTTTGCAGCATGCCTTTTGGGAGGGCCTCTACGAGAAGTCTGAGCGATCCAAAACCTTCTGGCAGCAGGCTGAGCGTCTAGCGGCTTCTCCACCACTCCAGGAGGAGAAGCCGCAGAACCTTGTAAGTCTTCTGGAGTGAACATGGCTCTTTGTTTGCTACTAGTAACAAGTGCCACGCTAGTAGTAACAAGTGCCTTACTAGTAGTAACAAAAAGCTATTAGAATTAAATTCAATTTAAACTAATAGCTTCTTGTTACTACTAGTAAGGCACCTATTACTAGTAGCGTGGCACTTGTTTCTAATAGCTGCGTCGCTCTTCTGGGTTTTCAAAGCGACTGTTTCTTTCAGAATCTGGCTGTGGCTATCAGGTTTCCTTGGTGCTGAATAAGGGAGAGTCGTTTACGGTACTCGGAGTGTTTGAGAAACCATCGTTCACGGTTTTTGCAGCCATGTGGGCCAAGCTGGAACTTCCGAGTGGCTGTGTTTAGTCCTCCCTTGAGCAGAAGTGTGTCGCTGAGGTTTCGTGCACCACACCTTCCCTTGCTTCCAGCGCTCACGCCAAGCAGTTCTGGTCCTGCAACGCAGCGGACATGCGGCGCATGAGCTAGATGTGGAGGTGGGGACATTCGTTGCGATTCCACTGAACAAAACAATGCACACATTAGCCAGATCCCCCAAGCTCACATGAGTGAAAGTGGTTCCTTGAATTTGCCTTCTCTTTCCGTTTTTCAGGGGACCCTGAGACAGACCCTGAGACCATGTACGTGGTGTAGTTTCTGCTCGCAAAAGAGCTGCCTCTGAGGCACACTCGGGTCCCAAAACTTAGCAGACTGACCCGAGGAAGCACCACTCGGCTTGAGGTGATAAGTAATCACCCACTAAGCCACTAAGCTTCAAAAGAGTACTAAAGCCAGCACTGGCCATGTCCGGTGGGGGCGCGCCATCACCATCCAGTCCTTTAATAGCCTTCAGGTGGCTGTGGAAGAGAGTTTCGGAGGAGCCACTGATGGAAAGGACTTCACTGCAGAGATCCACATCGCAAGGTTTTTGAAGGAACAAAAGGAGGTGACGCTTCCGATCCCCGTGGTGTGCCTCGGAATGGGGGACTCCTGGAAGATGACAGGTTGAAACTGGTTCGGATTTATGAAGGCATGAGAAAACCTCTTCATCAAGTCAATTTGATCTTCAATCGAAAGAAAACTCAAGGATGGATGCAATTTGACTTACTTGAGAAGTACGGAGTGGGCTATAGGCTATAGTGACTAAGTGCCGACCCTTTCCACACAAAGATACTGGGACTCAGCATGGAGTGCTTGCCCAGATTGGGTGACGTTCTTTTTATGTGACGTTGTACGATAGGACCCGTGAGAAGAACTGCACGAGCCCTTGACGATCCTCGCATGACTTGCCCCGTTCACGGATTTGAGGCTCCCAAAGGCGTGGAGTGACCATGGCGACCCCTTCTGGCATCCAGTTTTGGAATCATTATTATACTGTAGTCATTCTAACACACTGGGTGACATGAATCCAATGCTTCTGTCCTAGAAGAACGGACAAAACTTCAATGGCTGAGTTAAAGGTATGTGTGATGTGCAAGACGACCGAAACATGCGAAAGACAAACCATACTGTGAAACAAGTGTTGATTGTTACAATACGGCGGGGTGCGGGCTGCTTGCTTCTCAGGTACCACAAGGGTTGCTGGCAGAATTCTTATTGGTTTCAAGCGCGCATTCTCAATATCCATGGAGAAGGTCAACTTGCTGCCCCGGCGCAAGCTGATATCCTTGTCTTGGATGAAGATACATGGCCCAACAACATCCCCTCCTCATTGCGTGGCGGAAAAGGCCTCTCTTTGTTGAAGTACTTCATCCAAGCGGACCGCCATCGGCGCGGGCGGAAGTGGTGGAAGACCATGATTGCGATGGTCTTTCTGCCCGTGCATTCCGTTCCTCAACTGGACATACACCAGTTGTGTTGGTTGTCTTTACCATTTGGCTTTGTTTGGGTTTAAAGTTTAAGTTTAGGTTTTGCGACAGATTTGAGCCAGAACCACTCTTCATCACTGTTCACTGTTGAACCTCACTTTGCAAAGTATGTGCCTTTGCTACCCAACAGAGCAAGTCCCTCGCTACGAAGATAAATTGTTGGAATCTGACCGTTTACAGTGCTTTCTTTCCACCATGGACCATGGAGGCTATCAATAACGTGGTGCCCATGAATGAATCCAGTGGCCCGAAACAAGACATGATTCCATGATCAAAAGATCCACGACCGAAGCACTGCATCTTCGTCCGAGTCCGACTCGCCTCCCCAGTCGATGCAGGGGACTCGTCAGCAGGTCTTGGTGTCGACCCTGGTGCAGAAGATCTTGGTGGATCATGTCATCGGCCGTATCATCGGCTCTGACCCTGCCTGGGGATATGCGCAATGTGCCCCAACTGCAGAAAGGTACGGCGGAAAGGTTCAGAGGGACGACGGAAAGGCCGCAGCAGCTAGCTCGGAGAGAGAACGAGCGACCAGGCCCACGGCCTGTAGGGATCGGGTGTCCCAAACATCGTCGCTTCCGTTCGCTTTTGGGCGACGTCCGAAGGTCTCCAGTCGTCCTAGCTGAATAGAATGTGGGAAGAAGCAAGCGATGCCAAAGACCTGTCTCCAAGCGTTCTTCCTTTTGGTCTAAAACCCCACGCTTTCTTTATGCACTTTATTTGGACGACTTGAGGTGCCACAACGAAACTGACTGTGAAACCAGCTCACTCATAGAATAGATGTGAATCCTGTGAACTTGTGAGGGCCTTGATGCCTCATGTGCGTTTCGAGATCTAGTCTTCGGATCCATTGCATTCATTCTGAGCAAGAAAGTAATGCGGCCTCAGGACTTTTTTTGCAATTTGTGCATAGGGTGAATCCATGGATCAAACACTATATCAAAGCATGTATGAGCAAGTTTTGTCCAGGTGCTTCTTGATGTTGCTTGCTCAGTGAAGGAAGGATGTTTTGTAATCATGATTGCATCATAATACTATAAGATTCTTGCCCGAACAGCCCATTCCCTTGTCTCCTGGGCGCACCATGCTCGCCAGCGAGGTCTGATTCTGGTCTTAGTTCAGCTCCTCTCCCTGGGTCTGAACCGCTGGGCCGACGTGGTGCAGACGCGGAACCGCGGCCGCACGGGCGGGATTCGACAGGTGCACCGCTCCGAGATGATCCGGAAATTCATGCACCTGGAGCGCTCAGAGTCTTTTGGCAAGGATCTGGGGAGAGTGGGATCTCGGGATACTTGGACACTCCAAGAAAGAGGTGAGTGAGGTGCGTGCCGTGGTTTTTTTGGTGGATTTTCTAGGTTGGAAGGAGTAAGGTTCCTGGATGTGCCTGGTGTTTTTTGTGTTCTTTGTTCTACAATCTGGGTGTAAAGGCATTCAGCCAGCCAACCTTGAAATTCATAGTCACTTTGCCTTGCAACTTGACACACATGGAATCACATGGCTGTTTTGTTCATCTTGATCTACGTTTCGCAGATGTCTCGCATACCTAGAATTCTTGTTGGGCAGAAATGGGTAATGGTGCCTTTGTCCGTTCTTGGCATTCTTGTCCTGGTGGTGGCAATGTGGATCCACCCACAACGGGGTTCCGAACATCATTTGTATATCGTGAATTCACTTGATGCGTCCCTTGCATGTTGTTTAGTGTTTCTATGCTTTGATTCCTTGTTTTAGTGTAGTGTTTTAGCATTTTGTGCGTATGCGTTCTTAATTAATTGCCCTTTCCCCCTCACTACAATCAGTAATTAGTTGGGTGGACAAAGGAATGATAGCCTTTTGGGGAGGAATGACTGATATAATATGAATCTCATATGATTTAGATCCGGGACTAGAATCAGGTGGCAAACTGTTTCATTCAATCTCTGGCTTTGTGCCTCCTGCATGTAGTTGTGTCTCCGCGCTTTTAACCGCTGCAGCTTAGGCGTTCTTATAGTAAAGACGGGTGGAATGTTCAGCATAAAGTTCGGCGGCAATGATATATTGCCTAATGAAGATCTGTATGCAGGGCTCGGCTCTGCATTGTTGGCAGACCAAGTAGACGAAACGTTCATCACCAGGATGTCAAGAGTAGCATCCCCCATGGGATCTCTCCGAGA